TTCCCTGTCTCCCAGGTGGGTGCAGGAGCCCAGGGACTCGGACCCTCCTCTGCAGCTTTTCCCAGGCGCATTAGCAGGGAGCGGGATGGGAGTGGAGCCTCAGGACGTTCCCGGCACCCGTGTGGGACGCCAGGGCCCAGGAGGCAGCTTTGCCCTCTGTGCCACAACGCAGCGCCGTGAGAAAGTTTTGCAGCAAAATAAACTCAGACTCCCTTGTTCTGATGGCTTGAACAGGATGTGGCTTGCGGCACTGGGGAGGAGGCGCTCCCACCATGTGAAGCCCGGACACCCATGCGCGGGAAGCTTACCGGGGAGAACCACGAACTCGCTGCTGCTTCCCGGGACTCCTGGAGGGGACAACGCGCCTGGGGCCTCAGTAGTTTACAAAGGAGTCCATTCAAGCGGCCTGGGCCAGCACTGAAGCTGAGGTCCACAGAGCCAGACCAAACCTGCGCACTGAGCACAATTAATCTTGACCAAGTCCTACGGCCGAGGACACATGACGGACGGCGCAGATAACAGCAGAGCTGACCACGCGCACTGACAGAGCAGCCGCTGCCTTCTCTGTGGGAACCAGCGCTGGCTCCGCCCCCAGGAGCTGCACAGAGGACCTGAGTTCCCATGGGAGTTTAACCCAGCAGGGCGGCGGCCAACTCGCTTCAGTTTAATCAGCTGGCGCTGTGTCAGGGTTGAATATTGTCCTGTACTCAGAAAATGTGAGGATTGCTAGTTACTAAAATCAACAAATTAAATCAAGGGCTGGGCGGCTGCGAGTCGCGGCCGCGGAGCTCTGGGGACGCTCAGGTGTTGGCTCCTGGGCTCTCTGGGCGCCGAGTCTGATGGCTCCTGCTTATTGGGGCGGTGATGAGAGATCTCGCCTCAGCCGCAGCAGGAAGAGCACCCGGGAAGCTTCCCCGAGCGTCCTCTCCACCCGACGGCGCCCCCAGCACCCAAGGCGGCGCCCTGCGTGCGCTGCACGGGAAGTGACCACGCAGCCCCTGGTGGCCCTGACTCCGCCCCTCCTGGTGCTGTGTTGTTTTCTAATCTCGAGAGGAGCATTGTCGTGGGCGTGGTTCCAGAGCTGTCTGGGCGCCCAGGTCCCATACCTGAGAGCCTGAGGGGGAGTCCACCCTTGAGCCCAGGAATTCACACCCTGGGCGGAGATGAGGCCACATAGCTGGGTCTGTCCTGCGCGGGAGTCCCAGCACCGGCTTTGGCCGGATTCACCCCAGCTGTTGCCAGCGTTTGGGCAGGGCCCTTGGGTGGGAGGTCACTCCCTGTTTCACTAGCTCCACCTGCACCTCCACCGGCACCTTTCAGGTAGAACAAATTATTGTAATGCTTTAACTATTTAATGGAGCTCCTTTCTCTTCAGCTAATCAAGACGGCACCACCGCGGCTCAGCCCCAGGACCCTCAGTTCTCAGAAATGCCCTGGAGTTCTGGAATCAGCGTCTTGACCTTGACCGAGCCTGCACTGACAAAGGGAGTTTGTGTGTTTATTTTGATCTCCCGATACTCTCTGTATTTTCTTAATAACGCGACATTCCCTTTTTAGGGAAAAAAAGGAATGAAATCCAGTGCTGATGCGAGCGATGGACGCAAGCAGGTGTGGAGGGCGATGCCAGGAAACGCACACTGGGCCCTGCAGGCTGCCAAGTGAACCGAGGAACGCGCCCTCAGCACTCACACGGGGCTCCCTGCACCTGCCCAGCCCAACTGGCTCATGCATATGTAGTGGGGCAGTTCTGACTCATGTGGGCTCATTTGGTCAGCATTGTTAGTTACTCAGAGCACATATGTGTGCACTAGAGGTTTCTGTACTGAAGAGTACCCATCCTCTGCAGAACCAGAGAGTGACCTTCAAGGCCCATGAGTGGACAGGTTGCACGAGGCTGCCAGGCGGCAGGGCAGGGACTGGCCTTGGTGAAGCCCCGCCTATGGGTCAGGCTCTGGCGATGTGGTCTCTGCACAGAGCAGCCCCGTCTCCCAGAACCTCCCCCTTGATGTCCTGTGCTTGGCAGGAAGCTGGAATTGGGAGTGGAGCAGCCGGGACTCGAACTGTGCCCATATGGGATGCCGGTACTGTAGACGGGGCTGAGCCGCTGTCCCACAGCGCCGACCCCATGTCCTATTATTCCCGTTCAGCTGTCTGGCTGTCTCAGTGTCACTTGGTGCAAGGACACGGGTACCAGGAACCTATGGCTAGTCTTCCTTTCTCTGTGTAGGTAACGAACTCAATTTTTTTTCCAATTCGCTGCAAAAGTCAGCCATTTCATAACAAATGCTCCCTGCCCTCTACCCATCACAGCCCCCAAGTGTGCAAGAGGGGAGGAAAGCCAGTGTGAGGGGTGGAGCAGGTGACAATCCGTCAGGGACTCCCCATCAGGCGGCAACTCAGCCACGTTTCTCCATTGAATGAGCCCAGCGCACACGTGTCCCCACTGGCTGTCATCTCTGTGAGGGCCTGACCCTGGAGCTTGGGCAAGCAGGGAGGTAGAGCGGCCAGCAGAGGCGGAAGTCGGCAAATTCCAGCAGGCGATGTAGAACCCGGCAGAGGGGGCACCACCCGTAGTCCATGTCTTTTGGGTGACCGTGGGAGAAGGCGTAGGGCGTGATCCACACGCTGGTCGGGCCCAGAACCCCAGCCTGGACGCAGATGCCTTGGATGGACATGAAGGACAAGGAAGGCCTTGTGCAGGAACTCCACGGTGAGCCGGCGGCAGAGCTGAGGGGTCTGCACGTGGCACTTGCCCGTCCGCAGCAAGTGGACGGCACGTGGACAGGGCACCACTGGTCCTGCAGAGTATCAGTGAGCGTGGAGCACTGCTCCTTGATGCTGTGGTCAAGTTTATGGTCGGGCTTGTCTTTCCGACGCTCCACGGTTTGCACTCTCTTCCCGTAGGGCTCCCAAACCCTTGTCTCTTGGGCTCTGGGCTCCGGGAGGAGGAACTTGATGTCTTTGATGAGATAAACAGTGTCTGGAGCCCTTGTTCCCCATCGTCCTGTGCTTGGGCTCCTGCGAGTAAATGCCCTCCCGGATGCACAGTGCCCGGATCACCAGGCTCCGCTGCAGCTTCTTCCCGGCTTTGCTGCAGGTGATGCAGTTGGCGGCAGAGCCTCGTTCACTCTGCTGCTTCCCCAGGCCTCCCATGGCTCCACGTTGAGGCGCCTGCGATCAGACAGACCGGACAGCCAGGGCCACACGGGCTCTGTGCTCAGGGATGACTGCTCAGCCTGGCTGCTCCGTGTCTGCAGGCTCCGTGGATTTCCTGCACACAGTCCAGGGAGGCACAGAGGAAGTCCAGGAACCACCTTTGCGATTTCCTCCGCCCATGTGACCTACCTGCCCCACCCCCGGGGGGGTGCGTCTCCATCCATGGTCAGGAGCTCCCTGGTGCAGGCGCAGGGCTCCGAGGAGTCATCGGGCGAATGCATCTGGGACCGTGGCTCTCACAGGCCTGACTTCCCGGCAGCTGCTCTGTCAGCCGGGGACGTCCAGCGACCAGGGGACTCCTGTTAGGGTGCAGGGGAAGCAGAGGCACCGACTTCACACTCGCAGAGGAGGGAGCAGGCGGCTCTGTACGCAGCCATCAGACCCTGCAGGTGGAGTCTCCTCCTCTGACCCGGGACAGGAGAGTCCCTGCCGCCGGCGATGCCCCCTAAGGCCTCTGCCCCAGTGCTGTGTCAGCCTCCCTGGGGAGCCCCGGAACACAGAGGGCGGCCTCTGAGAACCCCACAGGCGTTGCACTCACACGGACGGAGTGATGCTGACGGGCAGACAGCAATGACAAACACGGGGTAACAATTCTCTGGTCAAAGACCCTTAGAGCAACAAGAAAAAGGCACCGTGGACCCCAGGGTCCCCCGTGACTCTGTCCCTGGCGACTCCCTGGCGGAGTTTCTGCAGCCCCGGAGGAGCCCCCGATCCTGCTGCACCTTCGATGTCTCCCACACCTGACTCTGCAGAAGCAGGAACCCTGCAGGAGTGGACATTGGGGGGGGCCTTGAAACTTCTGTAATAAGGCATGTGGGGAGCCTGGAAACAGCCAGTGTTTGGGGAGGGAGGGTGCCTTCAGGGGAAGGAGGGCCCAGGTGTCTCTCCCAGCTGGGCGCCCCCTCAGCTGTGCCCAGAAAAGTCTCTCAGGGCGGAGGGTGTGAGAAGGCGGCTGCCTCCTGGGCCAGATGCAGGAGCTGTTACTCAATGACTGCTGTGTGTGCTGTCCCCACCCTCCCAGGCCCTGCTGCCTGTGTTGCCACATGATTCACAGGTCTGAGTTCGTATAAAAACCACAGAGCCAGGTCCCACCCCAGAGGTGCAGCTGCTCCGCCACCCACTGCCCTGCAGCCGGCTCAGAAGCATGGTGCCTGGAGTGCTTGGTGAGGAGACCCCAGCCCCGGGGAGCCTCAGAGCCCCCAACCCTGCTGGGCTGGAAACCTGACCCTCTTTTCACTTGTAGAGAGGTACTTATTTATTTGAAAGTCAGAGTGGCTGGGGGAGAGAGGGAGGGAGGGAGGGAGGAAGAGAGAGAGAGAGAGAGAGAGAGGTATTGAGCGCTTCCCTCTTCTGGCTCCCTGCCCAGGTGGCTGCAATGGCAGGGCCCTGAGCTCCACCGGGTCTCCCACGAGGGTGCAGGGCCCACTCTCTCAGACCATCTTCTGCTGCTTTCCCACTGCATAGCAGGAGCTGCATCAGACGTGGAGCAGCCGGGGCTTGAACCAGGACCCGTGGGTGATGCCGCTGTCTCAGGTGGCAGCTTAACCCCTGCACGGCGCCAGCCTGACTCTCTCTCCCCTAAGCAGTTCTTGTCTCCCTCCTCGTATCACCCCGGTCCTCTCTGATGCTGTGCCACCTCCCTCGCACCTGCAGCCTCAGAACCTTAACTCCTCCTGGAGCCTCCCTGTGTGTCCCCCCTGCCCACCCACACCCCAGGACCCTGACCCACTCTGAGCGGCGTCCGTGAGCAGGGAGCTCCGTGCCGTCACTGGGGCCTGGACCAGGTGTCCCAGCACCGTCCTCATCCCCTCTGCTTCACAGCTGCCGTCTTCCTCTCTGCCCTCCTGGGCTCGCTCTCGGAAGGAGTCCCAGGTGAGAGCAGGTGCATGAGGCGGGAGGAGGCAGCATCACGGAGCTGGGGCTGGTCCTGGACACAACCCCGGAGCCCACCCAGCTCTGGCTTTGCAGGGCCTGACGATCGGTGGCTGTGCCAGCCGGCGCCCAGGTGCGGGGACCAGGCCTACAACCCCCTGGAGCAGTGCTGTGACGATGACACCATCCTGCCCCTGAACCGGACCCGCCTCTGTGGCCCCCACTGCCGCTACTGGCCCTGCTTTGAGCTCTGCTGTCCTGAGTCAGTCGGTCACCCGAGACTTGTTGTGCGGCTGAGAGTCCTGGGCGTCAGCTCCCAGTGCCACTCATCCCCCATCTCCAGGGTCTGTGACAGGTAAGGGGGTGGCCCCTGGCCATGGCACTGGGCTGAGGCAGGGAGGACAGAGGTGGGGGTTGGGGTAGTCTGGACACTGACATCTCTGCTTCTTAGAACTTCGGTTGGATTTTGTGTGGGTGTTCTTCTCCGGATCTATGATTCATAGTCTCTCGGTTTCTCCTACACAGAAGGATGCCTTCCCAGAGGAGACACAGAAGAACACTAACTTCCACTAAGGCAGCCCAAAAGGAGAGGTCGGAGTGGGCTTCAAATGGTGAGTAACTGGTGACTGATTATTCTGATTACCAGATTTCCCAACAGCCTCTCGCCTGCCTCCAGCTGTGTCGGCCTCAGCAGCCCAAGGAGGGGGTCACCCACCCAGCCTCAATCCCGTTTGATGCCAGAGTCCCCACGGAACTTCCAAATCCCATCTGGAGCCCGAGACTCCTCTCCCCACTGTGCACCAGCCGTGGAGGCCACAGCGTATGTGCCATTCCCCACAGGTCAAAAGGCAGTTCCCCAGAATGACCTTGACTGGGGCCCTAGCTATCCTGTAGAGGAATGAGAAAAAGGCATTTTATCATCTGTGTTATGGAGGACCCAAACAGAATAGAGCTGGATGGAAGGGAGGCTTCAGATGATGACAGCACAGTGTTTGCCGTGTCAGTGCCATCTACTAGGCGGAGAATACTGGATAAGTGGTTCTGAGCCTGCAGGGAAACTGCTAAGATGCCCCCAATGAAGAGAGGTAGCTGGGCACCTGGGGAAGTGCTGTGCCAGGCAGCCCTTCCTGCTCTGGACTCCCCTGGTCATGCTCTCGTTCTCATTCATTCACTAACTATTTACAGGGTAAATAATTTAATTTCAAATAAGAGAAGTTAGATCCAGACTTGGATAATGTGCGATGAAACTTGTTTTTGCTTGCAAATACATTAGATTTTAATCTTTAATATTCAACAGTATTGATTTAGGGAATGTTTTCCCTGAACCAAGAATGCTAATTACATAAAAATATACATATATAAAAAGTCATTTTCCCGGGAAAAAACAATCCAAGTGTAACTTCTAGAATAGTCAAGTTTTTCAATTATAATCAAAGTCTTGGTCATCTCATTTATTAGCTCTGTTAAACATTAGACAACTGTTACAATTTATAAATGCAAGGTGCCCTTACCAGTGATTCCTCTAGAGTGGGTGTGTCCTTTCTCCCACCAACTAATGAAACAGCAGCAATGCATGTTAGTTCAGTCTCTTTAGATGACTCACTGCTGCGAAGGCTAATTCTCTTATGTTTATGTGAGTACCCGTATGAGTGGGTTAAATAGAATGTACCGACAATCTCTTTAAGGATCAACAGTGATGGAACAAGGACATACGCCTCAGCCATTCTCCCTCATTGCCCAAAAGAGATCAACTTTGGAATGCATTCCTTGCCTTTGAAACTCAATTGGGACTCACACCCTGTTGCTTCATACCCGACCCTGCATTATTTTCCAGGTTCCCAAGGCTGGCCCAGTTTCTGGAATTCCCCTTCCTGCTGCTCCCTAGCCCCACCCCCAGCCCTAGCCCTCCTTCAAAAGGCCCTGGCACCTGGGGGTCCCCGCCTTCTGCCACAAGCTCCATTTTGTACAGGCAGGCAGCTGGTCACCCAGCTCTGCGGATTTATTTTCTCTGAATAAATTCGGTCTGGCTGTAAATTCGTGCACTGCCTCCTCTCTATTCTGTGACTCTTTTCCTGACATTCTGGTGCCCCATGTGAGGAGGCACCGCTCTGCCAACTCTTTTCTAGCAAACAGCAAGATGAGCTAGGCTTGGGCTTTGGGTGCAGATCGCCCGGGTCTGTCTGATTCAAGGGACCTGACCTGGCCTCTGTAGCAAGAGCTCTTCCACCTGCTTCGACATTGGTGGCATCTGTTGCACTTGTTTTGAAGTAGGGATGGTCACCATCGTCTCTGCACCAGGCTTGGGCTTCTTCTGTAGACACCTGTCGTTCACTTATGTCTATCTTGTTGCCCAAAAATCACAAGAGGAAAGCTTTCGGGCTCTTTCACATCTGCATAATACATGAATTCTTTCTTCCAGTTACTCAAGTCCTGGAAGCTTTGTGAATCATCGACACTGAAAGTAAGCAGGCAACAGTCAGAACCCCTGTTACATGGTACCCTCAGGCTTCGGAGCCCCTCTTGACAAGCTGTGTCCCAAACCTGCTCGGTAATATTATGTCCTTATCTTCTGGTGTTCCTAGGAAGAATCATTCAGCCAACAGGGAAAAGGGTTGCATTGCAGTAGAAGTTCCTTGTGTAGACACGGAAAATGCCCCCAGCAGGCTGGAGGCAGCTGAGTGCTGTGCCCGCGCTGGGCTCCAGGTGCTCCTGTCCAGAGTGGCGGGAACTACATCGTGACCAGCCAGCGAGGCAGAGCTGGGCAGGTCTGATGAAGCCATCCTCCACCTGCCTTCTGATGATTTGACCTTACACGGTTAACGTGGTGATCTGGAATAGGCTGTGTCTTACAGAGAGATTAATGCCCTTTCATTTCATCTTTGCGGGGACTTTTTTTCTTTGTCAAGCACAGATAACGTATTTTATTCAATGCTTTTTTGCATGCATCAAGATGATTGTCCAATTGATTGCTCACATCGTTAGGTTAACATGAATTACATAGCTTGATTTTTCAAGATTTATTTATTTATTTATTTGAGTGAGAGAGAGAAAGGGAGAGAACAGAGAGAGAGAGGTCTTCCATCTGCTGGTTCACTCCCCAGATGGCCACAACACCCATGGCTGGGCCAGGCTGAAGCCACAAGCTGGGAACTACATTCAGGTCTCCCTCGTGGGTAGCAGGGGCCCAAGTTGCTTCCCAGGCACCGTTAGCAGGGAGCTGGATTGGAAGTGTTAGGTAGGAAGTCAGAAATGGAGCCTGTGTGTGTGTGAGAAAGACCTGAAGACCAGCTCCCACTGCGGAAGCTCCAGAAGCCCAGCATCTTGCATTCAAAGTCCTGCCCGGGTCCTGATGACCTTCCAGGGGGCCCTGCCCCTTCCACCTGGTGACCATCCTTCCTCTAAGGCAGGGCGATGCCAGCCAGGCGTCCCCTGTCTGATCACTTCAGGGGGAAAAACTCAGAAAGTTTTACACCTAACAGTCCTTGTTCAGGAGGAGAAGAAGGAGAGGGGGAGGGAAGGCAAGACCCATCCCCCTAAGAGCCGCAGCCTAAATGTGAACTGCGCACTCTCTCTCAGATCCTGTCTGGTTAGGTTCCCATCGGATGTCCCTACCCTAGTAAACCTTGCTGTGTTGCTTTCCCCTGCTCTCTGTCTCACGCCTGAATTCTTTCTTGCACAAAGACAAGGACTCTTTGCTTCTCTGGTAACATTTCTGGTAACCACAAAGGGATTTTAAGAAGACATTGAAGGACAGTTTTCCTTCCCTCAAGCAGGACCGGATCTGTGGAAATGACCGTTGAGTGTCCAGCACCCCACAGCTCTCCGAGAGCGCAGTCACCCCCACACCGCCCCCCCCCCCACCATGGCTTAGCTATGGCCAAAACTCCAGAGGGATTGTAAGGAATGGGAGGGCAATTAGGAAGGGTAGTTGGCTGAGAGCCTGGAGACCTCCTGAGCTCACTTTTGGCTTCCTGGTGGCTGGACTGTGACCTGAGGACCTTGCCTCTCTCTTGGAGGGACGCCTGGTCACGCTGCCTACTGCTACGCAAACAGGGCTTAGCTTCAGTCAAGGCTAATATTGGCCCTGCAGGTAAACTCGGACGACTAGAGATATCAGGCAACCATGAGCGATAGGAGGTTCCAAACACTCAGTGCAACAATGCGCCTACCCAACCCCACGGCCGGTCCTGCTAGGCCCGGGCATGCACAGTCTTCCCTGTAAGTGGGGCACCACGGCCTTGCCCTGTGCTCCCTTCCAGTCAACACGGCCTGCTGCACGCACGCAGGCACAGCCAGACATCTCTGGTGAGAGATGAGTGCTCTCCAGGGCTGCTTTTTTCCTTTCTCCATTTCCAATTCAATCCCCCTCCTCACTAGGAGGGGGGAGGCCACTGCCCTCTGTCTCACGCCTGAATTCTTTCTTGCATGAACTTGAGGACCCTTTGCTTCTCTGGTAACAGAAGCAGAGCAGCTGGGACTCAAACCTGTGCTCCAATATGGGAAGTGGGTGTCCCAAGTGGAAACTCACCCTGCTGCTCCAGGACACCAGCCCCTGTTGCTTTTCTTTTCTTCATTTGCATTGCGTTTACTTGCACCTTTCTCTTGATTTCTATTATAACAGGGTTAGCATAGCAATTTGCACAAAATTCTTATATGTAGACAATATTGCCCTCGAATTACAAGTACTTGGGATCACAAGCCCTGTGACATTGGAAACTAAGAGGAAGTAGAAAGAGGTCACTACTGTTCACCCCACCATTCTGTCATTCTAGCACAACCATGGGAGCAAATTATTTTTTTTTCTGAAAAGGAAAGAAAAAATATAAATAATTTTCAAAATCATCCAAGCCATAGAATATTTAGGAAAAAAATTAATAGAACATGTACAAGATCCATACAATGAAAACTGCAAAACATCATTGTGATTTTAAAGAGACCTAAGTACATGGAGATCCGTGCCGTGGTTGTTTATTGCAGAGCTAGAGAATGGCAGCAGCCAAGGTAGAAGTCAACGGGACTTCCTTGGAACCGGGTCGTGATGAGGCGCTGGCCATGATCCCAGCTAACTCTCTTTTCCTGATCCTTCCCCCAACCACTTCTGAACATAAGGCAGAGACAACCTTCTCTGAAGATCCCTGGCCATCATCATCGTTGAACACATAGATTCAGACAGGTGCATCACTGCTGGCCGCCCAACCTACAGTCATGGTGGGATTGAAAGAGAACTCAGAAACCTGGAGGAGGCGGCTGCTGAGATGGGGAAGGGCTCCTTGGTTATTCCTGGTATTGCATACACTGAACACGGTGTCACCATTGACACCTCCCTGTGGAAATCTGAGACCAGCAAGTGTCTATCACTGGCGACCCAGGACACAGAGACCTTATCAAAAGCGCAACTGCAGGGGCCAACACTGTGGCATAGCGAGTCAGGCATCCCATATGGGCACTGAATAGCATCCTGGCTGTTCCACTTCTGATCTGGCTTTCAGCTGCTGTGCCTGGAAAGGCAGCAAAGGGTGGCCCAAGTGTTTGGGCCCCTGCCACCCATGCAAGAGACCTGGATGGGGATCCCGGCTTTGACCTGGCCCAGCCCTGGCTGTTGTGGTCATTTGAGGAGTGAATCAGAAGGTGGAAGACCTCTCTCTCTCTCTCTGCCTCCGCTTCTCTCTCTCTCTCTCTCTCTCTCTCTCTGTGTATCTCTGTCTTTCAAACAAATAAATAAATCTTGAAAAAAAAAGAGAGAAGAAGACAGGGGAGAGGAAGTACTTGGGCCATCTTCCACGGCTTTCTCAAGCCATAGCAGAGAGCTGGATCAGACTGTAGCAGCCAGGACTCGAACCATTATGCCACAGTTACGGACCGGCCCTTTAAGAACATGGCTCTGAAATGACTTTCAGCTGTCGAGTTCGCTTGTCTGTCGGTCTCCTGGCCCTTTCCTTGTGAGAGAGCCTTGAGCCATGGTCGGGATTTGCTCTTTGCCTTGGATATTGAGAACCCCCGAAGGTGCATATCGTGGGTAGGGCTCTGCACTTCCACCAGGGGGCACCAAACACACAGTTGTCTCAGTTTAATATTGGAAGCCATGTATGGTTACTGCTTAAATCCGTTTACCCTTGGTAGCTCATGACGAGAGCCTTGGGCGATTACTGACGTCATAAATAAGCGTGTCAATTATTAAATCAACAACAGGAGTCACTGTGCACTTACTCTCCATGTAGGATCTCTGTCCTTAATATGTTGTACTATGTGAATTAATGGTAAAACTAGTATTCAAGCAGTACTTTATACTTTGTGTGTCTGTGTGGGTGCAAACTGTTGAAATCTTAGTATATACTAAGTTGATCTTCATTATATAAAGATAATTAAAAAAGAATATTAATGAAGAATGGGATGGGGGAGCGAGTAGGAGATGCGATGGTTTGCGGGTCGGAGGGTGGTTATGGGGGTGTGTGGAAACTGCTATAATCCAGAAGTTGCACTTTCGAAAATTATATTTATTAAATACAAGTTAAAAAATAAATGAATAAATCCGTTTATTCTGCTGTTAATTCTCTGGTGTACTCTCCCGTTCCTGCAGGGAGCAGATGAGACAGGAGCACTGTCTCCAGTCACCACCAGCCTCCTCCAGCCCCTTAAAGCCCGAGGGTGTCCTCGGTTTCTCACAGAAGCCTGCAGGGAAGGAGGCGCCAACCCGCAGTGTCTGGGTTGGCAGGTGCACCTCTACCAACCAGTGCCAGGAAGGATGTGGTTGGCCATTTTGGTCTAGAGGGTCCTGTCCCCCACTGGGCAGGGTGGCCTGAGCCCTAGGGTGAGTGGGTCAGGGCTACAACTCTCCAAGGAAAGAAGTGACCAGCCCAGTATTTCAGGGAGGAGTGCAGTGTGCGTGGGGTGGAAGGGGGGCCGGCGCTGTGGTGTAGTTGGCTAAGCCTCCGCCTGTGGTGCCAGCATTCCATAGGGGTGCTGGTTCGTGTCCTGGCTGATCCACTTCTGATCCAGTTCCCTGCTGATGGCCTGGGAAAGCAATGGAAGATGGCCCAAGTGCTTGGGCGCCTGCACCCACATGGGAGACCTGGAAGAAGCTTCCAGCTCCGGCCGTTGCAACCATTTGAAAAGTGAACCGGTGGATGTCTCTCTGTCTTTCTGTCTATAACTCTGCCTTGCAAATAAATAAATATTTTTTAAAGAGAGAGAGAGCGAACTGGAGTGGGTTTAAAATGGTGAGTAATTGGTGACTGATTATTATGATTGCCAGATTTCTCAACGGCCCCTTGCCCGCCTCCAGCCCAAGAAGGGGATCACCCACACAGCCTCGTTCCCATTTTATGCTTAAGAATTGCCATGGAATTCTTTTTTTTCTTTTAAAGCTTTTATTTAATGAATGCACTTTTCATAGGTACAGCTTTAGGAATGTACGCCAGCCATGAAGACCCATGGTTGTGCCCCTGCTCAGCAGCCAACCTCCAGAGCCTGGTGTCATGGTAGCTTCTGTGCACACCGAGTGCCCCTCTGGGCCTGGGCCAGTGGTCCTTCAACAGCTCTGGGCTGAGAATCATGGTGAGGAGTTAGACGGGCTGACCGGCAGTTAGGTCAATCGGAAAACAGTTCAGTCCACTAACTGCACTGAGTTTTATGAAGGCTACACTGGATTGTAATGCCTGCCTTCTGATTAGCTATTATTCTGTTCCTCCTCTGATTGGTTAAATCTGGGTCTGGTTTTCAGAAGGAGACCAGAGGGGGCCACTTTGTGTATAAAAGAGCCAGCGCCCTGGGAGCCTCCCTCCTGGCTGCTGTGACAGGAGGCTCCTCACTTGCAATAGACCGACTTTGCTCACTCTCCTTGTCTGCTCGGGAATTCCTCTCCAGCCGTGAGATGGGAACTGAGAGGGGACTTGTCTTCACTCTCCCGTGACAGCTTGGTGCCATGGCCAGGATTCAACTCAGATCTGACTCTGAGCAGCATCAGATCGCCTGGGCAGACGGCTGAGCAAGCAGACTGCTCCCGCCTCTGTTTTTCAGAGAGCCTCTCTCACCCATTGCTTCTCTCTCTCCCTCTCCCCTCCGCCTTCAACCCTTCTCCCTGTTGCTGTGGATTCGTTCTGAGAGGAGGAGTGTGGTGGGGCAAGAGGCACGGAGCCACCACACAGACCCCAGGAGTTGGCTGAAAGTGGGCCAGAGGCGAGCAGCCCGCAGATTCCTTTATTTCAGTTGGTGCAGCAGGTTATATAGCCAAGGCAGCCAATCTGGTCAAGGGGCGGTCTATACCCTAACCAATCACAGCCTGTTGCCAGGCAGGATCTGTTGCCAGGTGGTTCTCAGT